CGTATTTTCAGCTACGGGATACATCTGCTGTTGTCTCCATGTGGTTGCAGTTGCTATGACATCTAAGATATGATGCAAGAAAGAAGTCTCACCCGTTTTTGAAGTTTAATTAATTTAGTGAACTTGTTGTTTTGATCAACAGTTTTCTTAAAGTGCTCACCTACATTTGACATCCTACCCATATCTAACATACTTATACATCTTAGCAGTAGAACGGCAAACTCTCTTTTCTAAATTAAGAAGAGCGTGGAATACAGCACAGATTACTGAATTTAAAGAGATCTAAGTCCTCATCAACTTTTTATCTTCTTTGTTATCGTGTCCGCTATGCATGCCGTTATGGCGCCCCAGGAACAAAGAACTACAGTCAAGATAGTGAAGTGCCTGATTAGCTGAATACGATGGTGCAAATGACTAAGTTTCTTCCATTCAGATAGAGATATACATATATCCAAGACATATCTCCATTGACATTTGTTTTACATTTGCGTATTCTGTCTCTCTCTGGNTTGTTTCTTAATGAATAAGGATAGTTAATCTCAGGTTGAAGTAATAAATGTATACGCGCTATTTTTAAATGCTTTAGAGTTACAAAGAAATATTTAGTAACTTTTGGTCAAATAATGGGAATGGGTGGAGAAATTTCACGAGAGATAGGAACATATAAGCAGTCCTATGAAATTCCTGTTCAAGAATTATCTTTTCCTAATAAAATCCTAAATAATTCCTGCTACATTATGATTCAGTCATCGCATTTTCTTGCTAGGATCCTGTTAGGATCCTAGCAGAATCCTAGCAAATCTTACAACTTTCCGGTGTACCTGATTTCTTTAGGATTCTGTAAGATTTTCCTAGGATCCTACCAAAAAGCCAGCTAAATCCTGGCAGGATCATGGCCGGATTTCTTCAGGATCCTGTCAAGAAATGTATAGGTTTCTGACTAGGGGTGTGTCAGTGTCTGAATAATGTAATTTGCTATGTCTAGAATTAAAGTTATTAAATAGACAATAAGTTACTGGTAAGCGAAGTATGTCAACACTTTTGTAGATATGTCAGTAATTTATTGTGATCACAACAGAACTTATTGGGTGATGCATAGACTAACGCAACGTATATCTATGTATTTTGATTTGGAATAATCCAAATCACCTCATAGAGAGATTCTTCTAACTCAACACAATGAGGATAGGACAAATCATCTCTAATATATAATAACAGGCATCCTCCTTGTTCGTTCGATCTATCTTTACGAAAAAAAGTGTAATTAGGAATTGATAAAAGTGAGTCCACTACTGAATCATTCAGCCAGGTTTCAACTAATCCAGAGATAGCTGGGTTTACATTTGAAAAGTAATTCAGTAGTGCACAAAATTTCTTCTGACGAGTTGCCTTATACAAGATACTTGTAATATTATATAAGGCTAAATGGAAAATGGCGGAGAACGAATTGAACGCAGATGAAAAATTGTTCTTTTGTGAAAGAAAATGTTGTTGCGAGGATGGACTAAATCTGATTTAAGTGTAAACCTTTACCGTTTGTTCACTTTTACGAAGCCTTAATGACTTCTAACAGAATGCAGTTTAGCTATAGATAGAGAAGATGGTTTCGTTGTCTCTCTCACGACGTGCTATATAATAATTTTTACTTGGCCTAAAAAATAACTTTGGTTTTAATTTAAGAATTTTGAGGGGTATGTGATTTTCCATACCCTTTTCAACAAGTACCTCAAAATTACTTAACAAACCATTAACATCGTCTGTAAAAAGTAAAGAATTTATCGAAGAAGAAAAACTACCTATCAAACTATCCCAATCACACCGCTTAAAATCTCTAACTTTTCTTACACCAGATAAAGGCGCAATAGAAATAGAAGGAAATTTACAGAGTAGAGTACCGTGGTGCGATTTTCCTAAAGCATCAAAGATAGAGGCAGATGGTGGTTACCACGACGAAGAATATTAAACATTGTCTAAACAGGTGCGTTTATAACAAGCCTTGTGCGTCTACTATCTGGAAATCCCTTAGCCTAAAGTCATGATTTTCTGTCTCAGCGTGGACAAATTAGGAGAACAAAATAATAATGAAAAATGAAGATTGACCTATGCTCGAAGAAGCTTTTCATTACATTTTAGATTCAAACCGTCCAACAAAATTGCAAGTGGCTTATATCGTGCCACGTAGAGAAAGAACAGGACGCCTAAATTGTAACTAAAACGTAATCTACATGATCCTTTCAAAACATATTTATTCTCCAGATATATTTTTGTCATTAAAAAGGGCTATTCTGTACTGACAGAGTTGCGTTTTGCTAGAATCATGACTAATAACGATGATTCATATTTATAAAAGAAGAACTGGATGATCATATTTATTTTGTTCTCAGAAAATATAGACGAATTATACAATGTGTATTTTCGATTCCATTTAACAAAATAAAAGCCATTTAATAGATTCCCCCTTTCAGAAACGTTTTTCTAGTTTAATCCAAATTTCTTTGGGTGCAATTACAATGTATTCACTAATATTTAAATTTGTTTCAAGTTTATCGCATTTTATAATTGTATATTCTTTTAATAATCGGACTAAAATACACTTCATTTCAACTAAAGCAAATTTCATACCAACACAATTACGTGGCCCGTTACCAAATGCCATATAAGCTAGTGGATGACGTTGCTTTTCTGAATGCCGTTCAGGGAAAAAATGTTGTGGATTATGCGGACCCCATAGTTCAGGATAATGGATGGTTAAAACATCTGGTTGAATAATTGAACCTATGCAGGAAGAAAAAAGATGAAAAATGACAACATTTTCTTCTAGATTAGATTTGCTTCGATCCTAATATATCTCTACTCTAGCTTCTACCAAATTTAGTTTCTAAAATATCAGATTTTATATATATCACCACAAAGTAAGAGTCGAACCAGGGTACTTTGAATTAGAAATCTACTATACTACTATTGAGCTAACTTGCCTGAGAAACTACTGAATAAGTCTCATATTCATACTTGTCGAATCAATCTTCACGAGTTACCACGTGTGAAAAAGTTACCACGCGTGATTACTCGTGAACTTCCTAAATCTTTTTTCTTAGTTTCCAACTTTTCCAAACTATTTTTGTTAATACTTCCTCCCGGGGCACAAGATGATTCCCAGGCATATTCCTACCGAAAATACCTTCGGTCTACAACAAAGGTTTTATCTGTATGTATGTACAACTTTCGAAAGATATAGGAGAAATTTGTATTTATGCTTGCC